AAAATTATGTTTTCAAGTATAGTCGAAGCTGGTTAATATGACCAACCAGCTATTAGGGCCAAAATGATTGTTTACATTGTGGTCCAATAAACTATTGACTGAGTTCTTTACAAAATCATAGAAAAGTTATGATTACTAACCAACAAAATTGATTTGCACCAGTGGGTCCATGTGAAAAATCCGAAGTCCATCTTCAGTTGCACAAGTAAAATATTCTGAATTAAAAAAAAAAAGGATAATTTTTTAAATGTTCAAATAGAGAATTAAAGTGGCTGATTCCAACAATACAAATTATGTTGCATAACAATTGTAAATTATTCTGAAGCACTTTAATGTTGGTTTTATTCAATATAAAATTGAAGAATCAGTAAAACAGCCTATGAGCTATACGCACCATACTGTAAACTATATCAGAAGAATTATTTAGCAGCTCTGCATGTATGCACACAAAACTAATAGTGTCTTTTCACCTTTCAGGGGCCGCTAAAAAATCATGCATGCATATGTTTTGTTATTTAAAATGCTAAAAAAATGTATTTATTTTTAAAAAGGAGAATGTTTTCTTTTTCTAGAGCTCTTACAAAAAGGGTCACTAAAAAAGTTATTTAAAATTAATGGTGGGAAAATGGTCATGATTTGGATATTTTTTTCTGAGATGATTGTTGACTAATTAAAACAATAATTATTATTATTTTTATTAGTGCCAGAGAATGAATATTAGTTCGTTCACATAATAATAATAATAAAATATTACTTTTTAATTATAGGAATCTATTGCAAAAGTCCATCCAAATTAATAGCCAGTATGTAAACTCCTAAATATTGCCAAAACTAAAATCAGAGCCAACCTCGTAAGAGATATGCTATTCGTGGATGACACAGTGGTAGTGGCACACACGCAAGAGGAACTTCAGTCACTAATGTCCCGCTTCTCTCAGGCCTGTAAAGAATATGGCTTGACTATAAGCACCAAGAAAACAAATGTTATGGGACCACCTGCTACAGCACCACCCTCCATCCTCATAGACGATAACAAGCTGGACGCCGTATATGAATTCTGCTATCTGGAATCCACAATTACAGATGACCTCTCTAGAAGAGGAGATGAAAAAACGCATAGGGAAGGCTGCCTCGACATTAGCTAGACTCAGACCAAGAGTTTGGGAGAACCATAAGCTAACTACGGTGACCAAAAGAGAAGTCTACAAGGCATGCGTTATGAGTACACTGCTGTATGGCAGTGAATCATGGACCACCTACGCAAAGCAAGAGAGAAAACTGAACTCATTCCATTTGAGATGTCTCCGTAGGATCTTGAATGTCAAATGGAAAGAAAAAGTGTGCAATACTTAGATCCTTGCGCGACCAGGTATTCCCAGCATCTTTACAGCCCTCAGACAACGCTGTTTGCGCTGGCTTGGACATGTTCGCCGGATGGAGGACAAGCGCATCCCGAAAGTCATCCTCTATGGTCAACTCGCGACTGGCACAAGAAAAACTGGTCGCCCCCACCTCCGTTACATAGATGTAATAAAACGTGACCTCAAATCAGTGAACATCAATACTGACAATTGGGAAGACATAGCTCTAGACCGCAACAGGTGGAGAGAGACAGTGACCAAGAAAGCTATGGACAGTGAAAGTACATGGGTCTCAGCTCAGGAAGAAAAATGCACAATCCGAAAAATGGCCAGCTCCTCTACCACCAAAGCAAAAGCCACCTTAACCTGCGCTATCAGTGGACGGGAGTGTCTCTCCAAAATAGGGCTCCACAGCCACATGAGAAAGTGTGCTCTGAGATGAACCATAGTCGTTCTACGACTGAAGGAGGCCAATATAATGTAAAAATAAATTTAAATAAACCAATGAATTGTTTCTTCATACTCAAAGTAGATCAAGATCAGACAGACGCAGTGGTGGATTGTCACATATTATTAAAAGTTTCTGTTTGAGATCTTCAGATATTTGTTTGCAGGGGAAATTCATGAGGATATAATGTGATAAGCAATCAACCATTTTTGTTATAACAGGTTAAGGTATGAGTGGTTCCTTTCATCAAACTAATTTGGCCCTTTCTTGGACAGATTAGTTATGTACAACAGAGCAACAACAAAAAAATTATTTAATAAATATTTTTCCAATTTCTTCAATTACATCATTTCTTAAACAGCAAAAACACTCCAGTAATTATCACCGCTAAACCCTTTGCTGTTTCATTCATTACTTTCTTTATAGAGCACTACCTGGTAATTTAGCTTACTAATGAATTTATCATCTTCCCCTTTCAGTATAATACTCAGTGGCTATGCATCAAATGAGTGACTTTGATTTTGCTGCTACTTGTCATGTGCCTTAACTGCTTTACTCTCTCTGTTCCCCCCCACAATGAAATAAAGAAGCAAAAAAAAATAAATTATTTAAAAAAAACAACAAAGTTAACATTAAGTGTATCAATTAGTTTGGATCAGTCAGGTAATTAAATTTATAATAGATCTAGACTAACAATAATAAATCTGTGTGTTTAGATATTATTTTTACCAATTGTTTTTGTCTAGTGCAATTTCATGCTTTTAGCTTTCTCAATATGCTATGATCCTATCGCTTGTCAGTTGAAAAGGGGTAGGGGAGAAAGAAGGAGTGATTGTTTTTTAAATGTATTTGTAAAAAAATAAAGTGAATGACATGTATTTCAACTTGTGGGCTATAGCCTTCTCAGGCTTCTCAAGCCAACAATGTAACCACTAGTGAAAAGAGCGTATCTATTGTTTCTATTTCATGTTTGTGTTCACTAAGCCTCAGACGATAACCTATAAAGGGGACTAAATGAGCTTTATACCACCACTTCAGTCAAGTACAATTTCATTCCATTGTTGGAGATACCAAACAAGATAATTAATTACCAATAGTTAATAAACTAATTGGTTAATTTTATTTTTATTGATTCCTGTGCTGTCAGGTAAAAAAAATAATTGTGCAAAATATCAGCTTGTTACAAGATTAGGTGTGGGAGAAATAATGTGTACAAACTTTTTAACAGACAGAAAAGACAGAGTAAGTTGATATTAGCTTTTTACAAAATTTGGTTAACACTCAAATGTTCTACTCCTTGCAGCAGTATTTTAATGACTTAGGGGACTTCTGAAAAAAGTGGAAACTTTAACATCACACCACATTACCAAACAAAATATAATAAATATAAATACCAAACAATATAATCTACAAAATATGGCTTCCTTCCCATAAATACCTGCTAATTAACATCTAAGAGTAAGCATGATCCATAAATAGCACAAAGCTGGAACCTAAGGATAATACTAGTTCATCCAGGGGTGGTTAAAAACATTTTTAACAAGGTTACAAAGACAGTTTGTGTGGAGACACAGTCACACAAAGTCAAAATCGGCCCTGAAGTGGTCCACCCAGGCAGGTAAAAAGGCAGGTTTCAATATTTTCAGAAAGAACATCAGAATGAAATTCTATCAAAGACAAATGACAGAAGAATGGAGAAAGAGGGTTGACGGATCTTGTGTGGTGCCCTAGCTGTCCACAGACCAAAGGATAGGTGAAAGTGAAGTTAGATGTGGACCTGGCCTAACTAATGTCTTATAATGAATATATAATTGCTCTAATTGTTTAGTAAAGGGACAATCTTTTATTCCTCAAGGAAAAAACATTTTCGTAAAAAAAAATGTCCGAGCAAGATTGCAGTTTTTAGAAAACGAGATAATATGAAAAAACTACTCATTAATTGTTGTATTAAATTGTGTCCAGCTTATATGCATACTAAATAGATTTTTTCTCTTAAAAAAAAGTAAACATTTTTTGGTGTAAGTGTAGTAGTTAGTATAACAGAACTTACTGTACTTAGCAATATAAATGTAAGAAAAAAAAAAAAAATTTATGGCAAAAAAATCTAAAACCGTTTACATAAATGTGTTAAAAATATGGTAAATAGTTTTCTTCCCTACTAAGTAGCATCCTGTGTTTGTTACTATTAATAGTGAATAGTTGTAAAAGTGGTGTATTTTTATGAAAAAACTGCTTGCATAAGTGATTAAAAAATTAGATTTTTCGGTTTCAGAAAAGAAACAAGTAGCCGTTGCATCAGAATTTTGAATGGTCTAAATTAATACGATGTCAGGTTTTCACTTTCTTTTCTAGTTTACAAGATCTAAACGAGACGAATGGACAGACATTCCACACAAAACTAATAGCGTCTTTTCCCCTTTCGGAGCCGCTAAAAAATCATGCATGCATATGAATTTCAAACCCTTCATGCCATATCTTCCTGACATAAAAAAAATAAACAAGAAACATCCAAAATCTAAATGCTTAGTGCCAGTGACTAATCATTAAAATAAATAAATGTTATGACCATAATTGGGAGGGGATCTGAATCAAGTATATATATAATATCAAGTACCTATATATAGATCTATAATAGTATCATTTAGATTTCTAAAGTTAAGTAAAGTATCCTCTTTGAGACCTTGCAATCTTTAGGACAAATAATGTAAATGTCTTTCTGTTTCTAAGATTTCTATTTAAACACAAATATCTAGTCTATTCAGTCTAGTCTAGATTCTAATATTGACTACCTTGTGTCTGATTTAATTTAGCACTCAAAACACCCCTTCTTGCCATTATATGCATCACTATTAGAAACTGTACACTTGTATTGGTACTCTGGCATTCATAGCTCTGTAAATGTAAACAGAAAATACAAAACAAAATTATAAAGCATTAAAGCCTATTTTAAAGCTAAAGGAAACAACAATTTCTTAGATCCTTAATGATTTAAATTTAATGACATCATTAAAAATATTAATCTATATAGATCTAGTGTATAATATATATATATAATTATAGACTATAGTAACAATTATATATACTCTTAGTCAAAGTCAAGTCAGTAGTCTTACTCTTAGAAGTTAGAATCTATTCTATTTTATAATCATTTTATGATTATCATTAACATTATAATATCATTATCATACTTAACTTTAGAATTTTAGATGATTAGGGTTAGAGATCTAGATAATATTTAGTCTTGACATCATCTATCAAAGAATTTGAAGCATGAAAGTTTTAATCATTATGAAAATGGAATTGTTGACATTTCCTATTTTAATCTGTTCTCTTTTTGTTTATGTTGACCTGTAGGCTATGGTTTGTCTACGACCAAGATACGACAAAAAGAAAAGAAAGTGCAAATTAAAGAATTTATTTGACTGAAAAAAATAGATTTAATGACTTTTAATAAATGAGATCTAAAATAATTTCGTTTTAAATTAACTTTTATGGAATTTGAGCAACGCATAGATTAGATTTAAATTCTCTGTAATAAAAATAATCATTTTTTGCAATTTATGAAATGTTTGGTATTTCCCAGTTTTGGTATTTGTTTTTCCTTTGCTTAACCTCTCACCCAAAAATGGCGACGTCCAAGGGTGCTAATACGTATAACAGACAGAATTGGGAAGATGCTGTACGTTTGTTTATCTTTACATTTATATTATTTTACACATCAGTACTGATTAACGTAGTAATTAAAATAGTGCCGATATAGATAATGTTTATATTGATCTAGCAATTATGAGGTTTCAGATGTTAAATTTAAGGTCTCTAGTCTAGCCCTGACTTACCAATTTTCGATAACTCCGACTTAGGATTTTATAAAAGATCTAGATCTAATCATAATCTAATCTAGATCTAATATAGCCTTTCAGTCCTAGATCTAGTTATAAATTATTATCAGTAAAATATTAACAAACGCATCTAAGCCTTCCTTCACAATCATTAAATCATCCTTGAACTTCAAAATAACTTCAATCAATCTTTCATTCTTTGCTACCACAAGACAAGTGGACTACTTCCAAGACAAGAGTGACACTAGATTTATACACTCTATTGTCTCTAAAATACTCTAGATTCTACTAGTTATATTTAGAATCTAGTTAAACTTTATAAGTTTATAGATCTAGTCATAGATCTCTATAAAATGTCTTTAATCTATATAAGTTTTTTATAACCATATATTGATTTAAACTGTAACTGTTGGATAATTTAATTATAAGATATCATGGCATAATCATACGTAAGTAGTTACTTCGATAAAAATTTCAAAATGATCACAATGCAATGGAACCTATTTGTTTAGATAGAGCTTGAGAAATGCTTTCCAATTATACCAATTTTATATTGCTGAGTTAATTATAAGGGAAGTTATTAAATTTTTAGTGGCCAAATTTAGCCTTCTTTAGCCTTTGTAAAGCAAAAAAAAATCTGTGACCGAAACAACTGACAGTTGAACTTTAATGAACTGTATTATGAAAAATCTTAAAGATATGGAGTTGAAACTTCACACTCTTTTTCATTAACCTGTATTCTGTTAAAACAAATTTAAAAAATAAGACCAAGCAATAAAATGTTTGAAAAAAAGTGAATTAATATATTAAAAAAAGCCTTCGACAAAAAATAAAAATATATGTGATTTTGTCATCATATGAGCCCAAAAATCACAAATAAAACAAATCAGAGATCTGTAGTGTGTTTTATTTTGTTAATTATAATTCTACTGTATTTAAATAGCTATTTATATGCATCAGATAGAAAATTTTTATCAATTATAATGAAAATAGCACTGCGCAGAAAAATATTTGCTAAAATTTAATCACTATAAGTTTAATAAATTTCTTAAAAACAGTTTAAACCTTTTTGTAGAGTACTGGCAATTAATCATTTTAAAATGCCTGAATTTAAATGCTTTAAAAATTAGATTGTAAATGAAAAATTTCTTGCATCGGACAATAAAATAAAAAGAAACCTTGCGATTTATTTAGAAGTTATTAAAAGATTTTTTACTTCAATTTTTGTGCAGTAATAGCTCATCATTTTAAAAATATAATGTACTCATTTATTAACTATTAATTTACATGTATACCACTAGAAAAAACAACACACTGAAAAAAATAATTAATTAATAGTTTGCATAGCTAAAAATATGAAAAAAAATTATTTAATATTATTATTTTAAAATATTTATTTTTACTTTAAAATTAGCACATTACAAAGTCATTATAATAAAGACACATTCCCTCTCCATAATCTAGCATTTAAACATTATAAAGGTTAATCTAAATGAAAAATTCTGTTTCCTTCTAAAGATAGGACGTGATAGATAGAAATTGACCATTTCCAGTAAATCACAGTGTTGGTTGTTACTAAAAATAGACTGAACATTAATATCTCAAGAGTGCGCCAAGCTACAAAGTTCAAACTTAGCACACAGATATATATTAACATGCTAAATTCAATAGAATTAGTGAGATTGTTGTAACTATAAACACTTTTATTTTATTTAAAAAATAAAATTTTACCCTTCTTTGTCTTTGTTAATTTTAATATCAAATATCTTTAAAGTGCGCCAAGAGAATCTAATGAAATTTGAAATATACACATTTCATAATATGATAAATTATTGTAGCAAACAGCATTGTTGTAACTTTTATAGGAAAAAAAAGTTGTAAAAATGTCAACTTTCACATAAACTTTTGTTAAGAAAAATTTAACAGATTGCCTTCAAAAGCAAATAAAAATGATCTCTGATATCTTATGTTTACAAAAAGTAATCACAATTAGTCCTGAAATCAAATACAATGTGCTAAAACTTTGATGGAAATGACCACCCCTAAAAAAAAGGGTAAAATGTGCTGACACACTTTTCAGCCATTTTTTGAGAGAGAAAAAATGGATCTAGGTCAGTTTATCGAAGTACCTAAAGTAAGGCTTACCTACTACTAAATACTACAAATGTACTAGAATAATCTAGAATATATGCTTGTTAACCTTTGGCCAAAGAAACATATACTATATATATATATATATATATATATATCCATTCATCCATCCCAGTGACACTACCATGAAGGGCCCTGGCCTGCTCTAGTACATCTTTCCATTCTGATGTAAACTGCACTTTACGCCTCTATGCCCAGACTTTTAGCTGTTGTAGATCTGCCTCTACATCATCAAGTTACTTTATTCGTGGTCTGCCTTTTGGGCGCTTGCCGTTTCTTTTTTTTTTTTATGTTGAACAATTTTTGCTCCTCTCTTCTGTGGAATTCTTTTGAAGGGACATGCCCTTAGGCATATTAATCTATTTTCTTGTCATTATGCTGGTATATTTCTTGGTTGGTGCAAGTTCTCCATCCTTAGAATAGATTCTAGATATAAATTTAAGTATTGTAAATTGGTGAGGTATAGACTTAAAGGTCTTCAGCTAGATTAAGAAAGCCTAGATCGTCTCTCAGGACTTATGTTTCTTTTGTAGGATATGTATGTATAATATAGATCTAGAGTCTATATAGCAATTTATTTATTTCTGGGGTGGGGTTACTAGCCCCATACTCTACTCTCCTCCTTTTTCCTGAATTGGGACAGGCAAATGTAAGAGTGTTCTTAGTTCTGTTTGACCTCTCTAGTGATCCATCTCTAGAGCTAATTTTTTTTTAGTCTTATCTAGAATTAGAGATTCTCAAGTAATTTATTATCAGCTGATATATATGTGCATTTTCTTTTACTTTCGTGTTATATTACAGATCTAGATTGATAACTTGGACATTGGATAAAAAAATATATAATATCTCAAAACTCTTCAGCTATTGAATAATTGAAATAGAGTTTTATTCCTTTGCATTCCTATGCATATTAATAAAATACAAGTCAGTTTGTGTTGGAAGTGGAAAATGATTGCACATGTGGAAAAGTAAACAAAGTGGGAGGTTTGATGATCAGCCAGTATCTTAAAAGATAGGCAGAAATGGTCTCATTTTCTCTTATAGAAATCTGTTCCAGCTTTCCCTTCATTCAAACTATTTTTTTTTTTAAATAAAATTAAAAGTGTATAGATGTAATATGTTATTAATTTGTTAAAATTGAATAAAATAAAGAAATTACTATATCTTTAAAAGTACATTATACAGTGAAAAAAAATTATAATCTCCCCCCCCCCCCCCCCCTTTTTTTTTTTTTTCAGGAGTTTCCAATTCTTTGTCAAACATGCTTGGGAGACAATCCATATATACGGATGGTAAGTTTAAAATTCAGTAAAAGCTTATAACATGTTGTTTTTTTTTGTGTGTAAACTTCACAATTTTTATTTTATTAAATCAAGTTTTGGGTTAGTGGATATTTTTTTTCCTACCTTTTTTTTTTTTAACAAAGAATAGAGCTGCCTTGTTTTGCTAGTTGAGTTGAACTCTGTCCACATTTTTTTTTTGTTTGTTTCTCTGTTCTTTAGATGAAAGAAAAGTATGGCAAGGAGTGCAAAATTTGTGCCCGGCCATTTACAGTGTTTAAATGGTGTCCTGGTGCTCGAATGAGGTTCAAGAAGACAGAAGTCTGTCAGACTTGCAGCAAAATGAAGAATGTTTGTCAGACTTGTCTTCTGGATTTAGAGTACGGTCAGTCTTTTTTTTTTTTTTCTTTGATATTTCACTGTATCATTGAATGTGCAACTTCTAAGTCTGTTTGTTTACAATTTTCTTCTGTCATTCAGAATGTTTTGAATGCAATTGAAAGTGATAAGTGGTTCTCTACTGGTAGACTATAAAATGTTTTTTTGTGTTTGCCTTAAACAACCATTTAGATACATTGCAATATTCAAATATTATTATTATGAAAATTGTTAGAAGTGTACACGTGACAGAGATCTTTTATTTGACTTCAATACCAAAAAAAACAAAAAAAAAAAACACTGTAAATGAAAATTGCAAAGTACGTTGTATCAGAGATATCCTTCTTTAATTTAAAATAAATGATATTTTTTTGGGTTTGGGTAAATCTTGATAAATTTTCTGCCCCTTTCCCATTTTCTATGATTAACATTTCTAGTAAACTTCAGTGATGGGAATTTTCTGAATTCTGAAAATTTTGTCTCATCCATGTTTGCAGACAAAAAATTCATCTCTTTCCACACCCTCCCCACAATCCCTCTATTTCTCTTTCTTTCTCTTTCTTTTTTTTTTTTTTTTTTTTTTTCATAAAAAAAAAAAATTAGATTTTTATTATTTTTCATTTTTAAAAGAATGCAACTAGATCTAAGTCTTGATTTGCTTTATTCATGTGCACATCCGATATTGGTCTTTTTACATAGAAGGTCTACTTCTAAAAGCTAGATTTTCAGTGATTTGAATAGATAGATAAGATGTCTGGATCTAGATCTAGATCCCTTTACATGTGGTGTGCCTG